TTTTTTTATGCAGAGATTATACAGATACTTTCAGAACATCCATCCGTGCAGATGGGGGACGTCCTCTTACGAGCTGTTAATTTGCAGATTCCATCAGCGGTGAAAGCTATGTGTAATAGCTTAAAACAGCGTAACCTGGTTCCGGTGAGTACATTATAATAGATAATTAAAACATGGATATAAAATTGTCCTAATAAAGAAAAACGCGATATTATATTTAATGGTTTCTTACGGTTCGTCATAAGTGTAAGGTTCGGTTTCTAAAGCGCATGTGATTACGAAAGCGTTAGTTCAGCACATTTTACGCTTCCACTGTTATTGGCACTGCATATGCATATACATTACGATCACTTCAATGTTGAGTTGTAACTTCATAACAGGCAGACATTAATATAAATATATATCAAGCTTCCTGTATTGTTCGTTATGATATTTGAGCGCGTAATACCTCACCTGATGACGCAATTATGACACTCCAACCAATTGTGTCAAAATTCTAACCAACTTTTCGACATTCGAGGCAATGTATACGACTTTGTTACGAACATTTTCAACTTCTTGAGCGATTTTTCAAACCAACACCTCATTTACAAATTCCCATACCACTTTTACGACGTATCAAACATGTGTCATATTCAAACGGATGATTTGGTCTTCAACAGAACTTTTTCGACTCCACACTCGTTATTTATTACAAATTTTAGTACTTTTACACACACATCGACTATATCGACCGCCATCACCACATGACTTACAATGTGACCAGAGGCAAATGCGTATGTAAATAACAAATTGCAAATTTATGTGTCGCTCCAATGACATATAGTTTGTAGTATTTTTTTTACAATAAATCTGATATAACATTTGGTGAGACTATGAGGTTATTACGAGGATACCTCAAAGTATGCACGAAGACAGTACAGTATCGACCGACGCGCAGCGGAGTTCAATGCGCGGCGTACTGTCTGAGTGCATACTTTGAGGTATCATCGTAATAACTTTATTATTATACATATTTTTCTTCCAAGGACACACCATGGGAATGCCGAAATCCAAAAAGTTTAGAAAAGAATCAGCGAACTTCTTTGTGTGGAGTCCGGTCAAACCCTGGTGACAGCCATGCTTGTTTTTATTACGTGCGTAATCATTCCATATTTGGAATTCGCATTTCCTTATACGGTACGATGAAAATATCCCGTAAAATACCACAAAATTGCGGCACGCTGTAACTTATGGCGTTACGGTGACAGATGTATAATAATGATATATATATATTTACTGTTATCTTGGCACATGGCTTTATGCATAACGTTATAACAATGGGGTCCTGAAACTGTTACGTGGATATTAGATGACTTCAACTTATGAAAACTGCGTAAAATGTAAATGTTCAAATTTCAATAATATAGCGCGTCTGAATATTAGCGTTTGTTTCGATTTCATATTTGAGTTTTGCTCGAATTTCACGTGATCATGCGCGCGGAATGACGTAATAATTCAGTAGAGGAGGGAATCCTTGCTCAAAACAAGATTTTATTGTTTTGGGTGCTAGCGCTCGAAAACCGACAACTACTGCTTTTTGCTATAACACACCTTGTCTTTAGTATCAGCTGCGAATAGCCTCTAATTACTACACGTGACTAATTTGCATAGTTACTCATAGCTGTTGATACTTGTTCGTGCAATAATGTTATTTTGGACAAATATGCACAACCATTACATTCAATAATAATTAATTATTAATATGCACGGTGTCACTTCAGATGTTCACAAGTTCAGATGTCATATGAAGTCAGTATCAAAATATTCAGTAAGACTGTAGCTATTATTACTGCAGTACATATGTCAAATATACGACGAAGCTTGATTTACTGGAATATTCACATTAGGGTATCAACCCACGAATGTTGCTACATGGTCGCTCAAATAACATAATTCCACATAACGGGTTTCTTCGATGTTACCCGTGTATTACGAGTGAGGATGTATTTTCTTCTTTTGTCTGTATGCGTATTCTAAAGGAAGCATGTTAGATTTATTGTAGCTATCTTAGGCTAGATCATTTCACTTTCGATGCCGTGTTGATCCAAATACAGTATTTGAGAATTAATCGTCGACCATCATGCACCACGAAAGGCAACGATTATTATAAAGCATGTGTGAAAAACGATAATATAGTCTTTGCCTGTGTTTGTGTGTGCCATCATAACCAGCATTCGCGACGAACTACTTTGTCTTTTTTCTACTAGCATATTCACCTAAAATAACGGACAATAACTTTATAATAAACTTATTTATTTTATTTATAAATTTATTGCTAGAAATTATTGACTAGGGTGTCCCTGGAACGCTGGCGAGATCATGAAATGACGTGAGTGGTACAGCGGATGACGTTCAGCTTTGAGCGCATTACTTGGATGCTCACGGCGCAAATTGAATATAAATCAATGTTGTAAATTATCGTGAATTAACGTCAAATAACAATAACCAATGAATTGGACTCATAATATGCGGGACTTCAATCAATAACAAGTTTAAAATTATGTGACCCACATTTGTGTCTTCCACAGGAAGGGCTTTACGCCCGCTGTGTGAATGGCGACTTCCATCCAGATATAACACCCATCGTCCTAGCAGCGCAGTTCAACGACTATCAGATCCTGACAACTTTAGTTGAATTTGGAGCGAGAATCGACGATGTTGATGAGTTCGAGTTTCGAACGGAAAAATTTACGTTAGAGCACTCCATCGGCACCATAGCTGTATACAGCGCCATCAGCAGTCAGGTTTACATCGCCCTGACCAGCGAGGACCCGCTGATGCGCGCCTTCGAGTTATGCAGCCGGCTGCGCGTTCTAAGCGAGACGCACTTCGAGTATCGCTTTCACTTCGAGGAAATGGTCACCAGATGTGAGAAGTTTACAGCCAGTTTACTTAGTTACCTGAGAAACACGGAGGAGCAGAGGATTGTCTTTACCCACGGGACGCATGATGATTTTACTGGCGATTTTAAAGAGCCACTGAAAGTAAAGGCGGCTATCAAGTACGAACAGAAACAGGTATTACAGAATTTTTTGTTAAATAAGAGGGGAGGCAAGGGGGGTAGCTGGTACGGTTTTACGGGAAATAAAAAGGGCTTTTCACAATTTACGAAGAAAAAAAGGACGTTTTTACAGTTTACAGTGTTAACAAATGGAACATTGAATGGTCCGAAGAGCTCTCCAACTCAAATTCTCCACCATTGCTGCGCCGTGTGAAGAAACGCATGCGCATATTACCCTCGGTTAGAGGGCCTTTTACGTATTGACATTCAATTGTGTAGTGAATTCTGTCATCTAGTCGTTTTACAGTTTCTAAAATGTAATTTCCCTGGATTATTCTTTACGATTTTTTTATTTGGATGTGAATTTTTGTACGTACGAGAAAGATGACACATTTTTACAGTGTACGAAAAAAATATTTGATTGATTACGTTGTACGTCTAGCCTGTGATTACAGAATTACGGAATTTATTTTTTTTCTATTTACGTTGTACGAACAAAAAAATATTGCAATTACGTTGAACGAAAATAACCCTTGCCCCCCTCAAATAAATAATAATATTTTAAGGTTAAACATTGTACATTATTTAAGCAAGTTGAAAACTTAAAATCCACATGCCAAATTTGGTCGTCGCGAAAATCACATTTTAAGACCTTCGAAAGTACTCACTATGTTTATTTACTTTCCAAACAATGACCAGAACTTATTTGCGCTGTGAAATGATGAAGGTGGTCATGAAAAATTGACTTTATTTACCGTACACCGAGTCGCAGAAAAATAACACGACGAAAGACGCCATTTTGTATTTCAGAGTTCATAGCAAATTACGCGAGACCTATAATGTTGTACCACGTGACCGAAATCAGTAGATAAATTGCGTTTATGCAACTAGTTTTTATTATTAAACAAAAACCATACAATTATAAATACTGTATGTGATTGCTTTTTTGGAACAATGAGAATAACTGGTTATGGGAAGAGTGAGTTTTATTATTCCAGCACTGTATCACATGACCGCCAAACGAGATAACATTTATTCTGCGCCAGGGAGTGTGGGATGTCAATGGCTGCCGTTTTCTCGTAATTTGCTTGGTTTCCGCGGTAATTGTTTGAAAATATCACAAATTATTGCTTATTTATAAACACAAATTGCAAATGCAAACACAACTGTTATTCATCCAGCGATCAATTCACAATAAAGGTACGTCACACCATCGTAATCGAAAGCAAAAGCGATTTAATTCAAGTTTACGTATGCCAGATTTCTGTTTTTAAATGGTGATAGATCCCGTAGCTCTATGTTTGACGTACAACAACAAAATTAAAAAGAAGACGTCCAAATGAAATTTTTAGGGCGAAATTCGACTGTATGTCGCACCAAAGAGCTACGGAACCGCAGCTAATGGCCTCTGTGCGCGCTTCTGTGGAACGCCAGTCGAGCCGGTGAAAATTCGAGAAAACAACACAAACTCAACTTTGAAGTAATCTCGAACAACCGAATTTATATATGTTACATACGCAGGGCTAATCTTGTTACACTGTTCAGGGGAGTCTCAACAACCATCCCAAAGTACCGTTTTCTGCGAATTTTTGGCACTTGTTTTCACCGCGATGGTTGCCAGGCGGTGAAAATGCCCGGAAGCCCGCACCGAGGATATGACTGAACTAGTGCAAAATGTGTCCCTAGTGTCGATGACGTTAAAGTAACGTAAGTGAATCAATATAATTTAAAATAGCAATTGTATTTGGTGGTGTAATTGTCCGCCATTTATGTTCAGTCCAAAAGGACGCTGTTTCTTGGAAAGGTCGCGCGATTTCCGAGGGCGGAACAACGTCACAGAACTTCCACCTTGCTAAGAAGCGCACTACTGTACCATGTATTTCTATTCTCATAACCATAACTCTTGGGATGGTTATTGAGACTTTCTTGAACAGTGTAACAAGATCAACATATATCAATTTGTTTTTTCAGGATTACTTTAAAGTTGAGTTTGTGCTGTTTTTTCAAATTTAGCTATTTTCACCGGCTCATCGACCGGCGTTCAACAGCAGCTCGCGCAGAGCCCATATAAATACATGATAGAATGGTACACGTCTTAGAAACGTGGAACGACTTGTGACGTAGCTCCATCCCGAGGATTGGGTCTGCGCGAGCTGCTTTGACGCCGGTCGAAAAGCCGGTGAAACAGGTGCAGTCAACGGAGCTGTTCGTGAAATATGTGTTCGCAAGGGATTTTCAGAGAGCAGGCATAATAAAACATCTCCAGAGGGAGGGCATTAAAAATAGGGTTTCTCAGAGGGGAATTCCAGTAGGAGAAGATTTTTATTCAGTGGGCAGGCAAGTTCCATTTTTAGATTGAGCGGGAAAGGGCAAAATGCAGAATTTTCCGCGGGCATCAGCAACCAAATTGCACGTGATCAATTTGACTGAACGCCACCGCCGATGACAATCGTCGCAAACAATACCTGTTTTTTGCAGTCCAGTGCACGTTAGTTATTTTGTAGAGGGCAATCTTATTAAATAATCCTTCCTGGGTTTTCCTATATGCATACCCTTTTTACCAAATTTTTAGCACTGTTACTGGCGTCACGGTTCGTATATGAAAAATAAGCAGCGCTTATTGCGGGAGGGGTTATATGCAAGACAGTATGAACTGGGTGGGAGAGAGTAGATACAACTGCGCGTCTAGAGGGCAGGCAAAACAAAAATGAGCGGGATAGGACAGTGGGTAGCAAAAATTGGGGAGAAGGCAGTGGTGAACAAAAACTGAGTGGGGAGAGGGCAGTGGGACCAAAAAAAGTGGGAGGGCAATTTAATTTGGTTGAGGGAGGGGAGTTGCGAACAGATTGACCTCTCCCCTCCAAATTAAATTAAGCCTTAATAATGTTCATAAATTAAGTTACTGTTGATCAAACATAAATACCAAACATTTTTGCAAATTTACTC